ACTGATGAACATCTCCAGAGCTGTCAGTCACAATGATTTAGCCAATTTAACTCCCATATACTTCTGTGTAAATTTTACCATTGATTTCCCTGTCATTTGATGTGGCTCTCCAAAGAAACTCATGTCAAGGAGAGCTAGAAGCTAGAGTCAGTAAGGATACTTGTTACCATAAAAATTATTCATGTGAGAATAATTCATAGCAACAGGTTTCATATACTACGCTTTTAACACACATTAAAATAGTTAAGTATTTTGTTGTTCAAATGTAAAAATAACACAAAGTACTTTATGCAAGGATGCCAGGCATTTTACTGACAACGTCTTGAATACAAATCTTAAGTGGAAATATAGCTGCAGTGACATTTTAGGAACCTATCTTGTGCATCAAACTGGGCCCTCTGCATTTAATGCCATGGTTATAATCTATGCCATTTTTCTCTAGCTGTTACAATATATTGAGGGCAAACTTTATTAATGCAATTTGTTGAAGGTGTTGTTTTCCCTTCCCATTCAAACCTATTACCATAGTCAATAGATATTTTGAATATATAGAGAATATTGAATCGGGTCCTTGATTAGTGTTTGATTTATACCACAAAGACCACAAGATTCAGAGGTTGCCAAGGCAACACCACTTCAACCTCCTTATATTACTGCTTTGATATGAAACCTCTCATTATATAAATGTATCAAAACACCAGTCAGCATGACAGGCTATTTTACAAATATACCTTCAGTTAGCAGACATCATATTCTTAAGAGGAAGGACGTTACCTTTTACTGAGTGGAAGAAGGGAGGGGCCAAAATGACATTCCAAGCTATAGAGGTCTCATTATGAAATTGTATCTCGAGCCTTCTAACGTTACCAATAAGTTTTGCATTCTTCGGCCAAAAATCCAAAATAGGGCCAAAAATAAACATTAAAAAAAAAAATAAAAAAATCCAAGACTGAGATGCTAGAATTTTGAGTAATTGAAACTAACAACAATGTACAAAAGCTTTCCTGCTTTGGAAAACCAATATTCCAATATGTGTTGTTTAGAACTACAGAGTAGGTAAAGTTTAGTAAAGTGTAAAAGATGGACCAGGAACCTACTAAAAGTTTTTTAACCCCCATTTTGAGAACTTCAATACTTGGCAATAAGTACTACTAGCTTTCTTTTCTGAGCAATATTTAACATGCAGCAGTCTACCTACTTTTACACTCCAGACTTTTTGGCAAGGCCAGGCTCCAGTAGGCTCAGTAGAAGGGGCTCTGTTAAAGAGAGCTACTTCTGCATCTCCATCTTAATCCTCTAGACCACAATGAGTTTGAGCAGACTACACGCTGATCCAGAACATATAATGCATGGCTGGCTGGCTGGGTTACCAGTAGGATGGCAATAGTTCTAGACTTATCCCTCCAAACTCTTCTTGTGCCCTAGCACACCCCATGCCTCCAGAAAGCCTTTCAGAGATAGTATTACTAATAATCATCTGGTTCTGCATCACCTGGAGACATTCCAGCATGAGATGAATTTCTGAACCTTTGAATTTTTGAAGAGAAGATTGTTACAAGTAGGAATATGCAAAGGTATTTGCAATTATGGATAAAATATGAATATTGGAATTGTCTGGGCTGAAAATTTTTACTTCTCTCACCTCCACTTCTGGTTTGTAATTTCCAGTTATGCTTATCTCACTGTGACTAAGTGACACGTTGATTGTCCTCAGCAGTAAACAAAGTAAATCTTACCGCGTTTCATAAAAGGGAAAGGAGTAAAAAACACCACTAGGGGGCACATAGAGCACTAACAAAGCAATTCCGAGTCTGGCTCCTTCATCCATGAATTATGTCGCTCCAGGTCAGCAGTAACTGCCTCGATTTTGCAACGACAAAACAACCACACTTACAAATATGTCTAGCTGAATTAAACGGTAGCTCCCCAATTACCACAGAGTGCCATTCATATGGTTTCTACAAGAAGAAATCCCTCTTCACTTATAAGCAATGACATTGAAAGCCACTTTGCATTGCAAGGTTACATCGTGCTACATACTGAGTACTGCAAAATATTCAGGGTATGAACTATCTCGGACCACCCACCTGCATCCAGTGCCTTCAGTGCCTTGCTGTACTGTAAAAAAGAACCAGCTTCACTGTACCGCTAACTGCTGCTGTAATTCCAAGCGATGAAAATGCTGTAAGACCACAGTTGTACACAGAATTCCCTATTTCACTGGGTAACAGGATAATGTACCATTTGTACTGGTTGTTACTTTACCAACACCATATTGTTTCTCGTTCTCTAAAGTGTTTAGGTGGTGACTCACATGACCACCTTGTGGCTGTTGCAAATTGTCCATGCCACTCTTTCCCATCACCTTTCCATTTTACATGATGGAGACTCTGAAAAGGGCAGACCTAAAGTCCAAGGCCCCCTCATTTAAGGAAAAGAAGCAAAAAAAAAAAAAAAAAAAAAAAAACACCAAAAAGAAAAAAAAAATCACCTTCAGATAGACACAGTTTATGTAGGACAGCTAGAAGACTTGACATCAGAATCAGGTATCACACTGTGATCCAGTCATCCAGTCAGCCCTGACATTTCCACATAAAGTGGGCCATGAAATCTGGAGAAGAGCCAGAACAGCAGAAAACCTTCAGGGTTACTTTGCAAAGGACTATGCAAATTCTTCAGAAAGCTGAGGACTTGAGATCAGGGATATTGGCTTATCAACTTTCACCAGCACTAAAGCTCACTTAACTAACCTTCGATGACAGCATGTTATTCGAAAAAATATTGCTGAACAATCAGTTTAACAAAATCAATCATTTGCTCAAGGGAGTTTTAAGACATACATTTCCTTAATTATTGTCAGATATACAGGTCAACAAAAAAGGAAGATTGATTTCTGGATAAACGGAAAAATTGTGATGTTAAAAATGTTGTGTGGAAAGACAGGTTGTGAACTAAAGTATTTAACGCTCATTTTTGTGAACGTGGGAAGATTCAGGAAGCACTTGCAGTCAGGAAACTGTACACATCTTCATCTGCCTGCTGATAGCATGATGCAAAAATATCTCCAGGCTGCATCTTCTAATCACTTACACATTGCTAGTAAGGGTACATTCCTTCATGCCTATGTATCTGTACTGATTAATGTAATATTAATATAATGACTATGGTGTTTGCAACAGCAATCTTACAGAACAAATTGACATTAGCTAGAAAAGTCAAGTCAGCCTTATTTTGTACAACCCAGTGCTGTCATCATCTCTGCTCACTGATGCATGTTGTGCCCCAAACTGGACCCTAGCATCCAAAAGGCAAAGCAACCCCAGACCTGTCTCTGCCAAGTATCAGGGAGGTGAAATAACATCCTCTAGTTCTGTAACAAGCTCAGTTCTGTGATGTCCAACAAATTCCTAGCAGTGCCTAAATCAATGCGACTAGCACTCTTCATTTATTTCCTCCCTTGCCATCTCATCATCCTGGGAGAGAAATTTGTGCCATTCAGTGTCTTGCTTTGCTAAGACACATTGTTTTGGTTGGTTGGGTTTTGTTCATTTGGTTTGTTTTTGTTTGTTTGTTTTTGTGGGGTAGTTTGGGGAGGGAGAGGTTATAGTTTAGGATATAAATAATTTTATTGATTTTCTTAGTGCTTCATCAGAGGCATTAAGAATCAGGAATATGTCACCTTGCCAATGAAAAGAATGTTTGAGATCTGCAGTGGTGCTCAGTTCTTGGGAGAATCTGCACACAATCTCTCCCTCACAAAACACCTGCTAGGAATCTGTCTGTATCCATACATATAATAAAGTTAGGCATCTATTCCCCACCCTCTGACTGGAAGCACCAGCAAGGAACCAGGAACTCAAAAATCCACTCAATCACACACAATTTACGTGCTCTAAGACGTTCATTGTGCCTCACCCATTCCCTCCTCAGTCCTGTCACTTGCAAACATAAATCAAAGGTGGTAGGTGCAGCATTATTTCTTCTATGCCTTCCCATTGCACCCTTTCCAAATCCTCATGGGTACAGGAGATATGTATGTATATGCCTTCCACTCTAACAAAAGGAAGGTAAGCCCCATATGAAAGGATCACAATCCATTCATGTTTTGTGAAAATGTAGTGAATGTACACTGTGGTTTTGAACAACTTTGAACTGCAAGGGTTAAATATACTTTCCAAAACAACACAGACAGGTTTAAGGAAGACCTCACCCCAAAAAAGACAATAGCATCCACTATAAATTGAAAGCAATTCCTGTGAAGGAAAAGCTGCTGGAAGAAAAGCAGCCTCTATAGGAAGTATGCATGTTTTGTCTGTCTATGGTATACATATCTAAGTTCTAGTTTAAATTTCTAGTAAGAAATTCTAGGGGAAAAAATAAATGCAGAATACTGAAGTTGCTACAGGGAGGAGCAAGCAATTAGCTTAATTAATACCAGTGTCTATTGTTTCCTAATTAATTCTTAACAACTTATTCCCAGTTTGTTACTTCAAAATTTCACTGCTACTTTTTTCCAAGATGTATATGAATGGCAGGCAGAGTTACCAAAATGCTCATCACTGAAGTTTTTCCCATTGTATTTCTGTTTTCATTTACAGGTTGTTTAACATCAGAAATGTATTCTTAAGCATTTCCTCACCTGCCTTTTCTACAGTAATGCAAGACAAGCTCCAAGGACAATGTTAAGTGTCTGCAATAGGTAATGAATACTCTGTCTAGACAAGAGATGCAGACAAGACTGTTCATCTTCTCTCAGTTCTGCCATCTGCTAACAGCTTTGATAGTAAGCGGAATACTTGGAAATGTGTGCATCTTTTTGCATGTAGAAAAAGAATAATTTGCTTTGTCTAAATAGGGAACAAACTTTAAAATCCTAGTAATATCTATTTGAGGATTAAATCACCATTCCACTGATAGGTTTATGTCTGGAAAAGCCAGGGGCTATTTCACATTCTTATACAGATACATCAGTAAGCTAACACTGTTCATGTGACACTCACCTCATGTAGCTTCTGCCAAAATTCAGGTCCATCCTCCATTTTTCTTAAACTCGGTGGAATGTACCAAAAGCAAACATTTGCATACTCCGGCTAAACAAGAGAAGAAGTGATTGCTTATGAAATATAACAAAATGAGAGAGGGATATATATTGCAGCTCATCAGCAAGTTGTGCTTTATTTGAGGGATCGGGGGGGACAGAAGGAGTTTACACCTTTTTAATCAAGACTTCCTTCTCCAACACAGATTGTTTCCCTTTTCTGAAACAAGAAACAGTTTTAACATTGTCCACTTATCTCCCCCCTGTCGGAAGGAAGGAAGGAAGGAAGGAAGGAAGGAAGGAAGGAAGGAAGGAAGGAAGGAAGAGGAAGCCTGCTGGGGTTCCTTCTTTATTTCTTCTTTTGCCTTGGTTAATAAAAATTTTGGTTTAAAAAAAAAAAAAAAAGTGTAAGAGAGGCATTGAGAGCTAACTTGGATTTCAAAACTGAAGGAAGTTGAAAGAGAAAAATACATTTTCTTTTCAGAAGGGAAATTTCCTGTGATGCATTTTACACAAAACACACAAACTCATTATTTTTGGTACTATTTAATGTTTGCACACCTAGTCATTTTTTCTACTGAATGACTACTCTCCTTTTATATCATACAGCCCACTATGTAGTTCTGGAGTTAGTGCTGGCCTTCTCAGATTTCATGTTTTAAGAATCTCAGGATGCTTTGTATGATACATGCCTGAAAATATCTTGTCCAATAACTAAGCAGGCCTTTTGAGCAAAGACTCCACATCTCTGCTTCCCTCCTGGGCAAATTTGCCTTTAAACTCAGCGGAGATTTAGCTGCAAGCCTCCTGACAAGAAGAATGGATGTTCATCATGCATTATAAAATAAAGCATTTTGTTTTATGAGGTTTCTATTTTGTACATGATTGAGAAAATGTTCCAGCAGACCAACCCAGGATCTGCCTACATTTCCTGCTAATTTGGAACGAATTATATTTTATTTTTTACCTGTGCAGATAGCAAGAGCATGATGAATAGATGTGTTTTCCAGTCCCACCCAATACTACCCATAACAACACTCAGTTAATGTTGACCTACCTTGTTTTCAATGCAGTATATTCACCTGGGGTCTAAATTACAACATGGAGTATAAACTAACACGCCCCTACCCCCCAACACACACACCATCCTCATTAGTATGGCTGAACAAAAAAAAAAAAAGAAGTTAAAAGGCAGCTTGATAGCTGGGTCACACCATCTCGTTGCCCCACTGTGACTGCGGCTGCTCTTACAATTGAGGCAGTTCCTGAATGAGGAGAGCCCACCAGCTGAGACATGCTCTTTCATGAAAGGGCACTGAGAACTGCTCATATCATTTTCCGCCTCACTTCAAAGAATGCATTAAATACAATTTAATCATCAAGGAGAATATCGTTGTCAGCTGGAACAGAACTGCAAACCTGCCACCTGCTGTCATTGAATGAAATAAAGCTCAGTGCTTAAAGTCCCATTTCTTTCCCCAAAGAGCATGCATTGAGTACACACAAACACGGACCCTGAAAAGGCAGCGATTTCCTCATGAATGCAAGCACTAGTTGACTGTTGGAGGGTTTATTTTAAAGCTGCTTAAAATCAGATGGCAGGACTAAGCAGATGGCATATATTATCATATTGCCTCCTTGATTGTCTCAGTTTCCTTTCACACATCAGATAACTTCATCCCCCTCTGAAAATACCATTCATCCCAGAAAGAAATAACTACCCCCAGCCACGCTTCATGATTACTTGTCATCTTCTCACAGCTCTTATCCAAGCAGGTAAGCAATTATACCATAGAGGAGTTCAAGATGACAGACGCACAACTGGCATTTCCAGGCTGTAGAAGAGTCCTCACTACAGGACTTTCACTGCATGTATCTGAGGATCATCTTCCAAGCTTCTTGTCCGAAGTCCAACTTCCGTTCATAAAGGACTCACTTAATGGGGCCTAGCTGCCTACCAGCAGTCTTTCTTTAAATTCTCACTGCTTGTCCTCCTGTGCTCCTGAAAATTTCTTCTTAACCCTTGCTCAACCTCCTTCTCATAGCCCATACTATCGCACTCCTTCCAATCCTATTCTCAATCCATGTGTCCTTTTCCTGCAGGAACCAAACAACACTCTGCTCTCACCAGCATCTTTCACACCTAAGGTGGATCTACCCTCTACACTAAGCTCTACACAACAGAGAAGGGTTATCTTTTTAATGAACTTGCCACTTTACTCATCATATGTTGTGTCATCATTTGCCAATCATATGTTGCTACCAGCACCCTTCATGTAAAGTTTCCCAGTATGCACTTCCAAATTAGCAGTTTTCAAAGGTAAACAGAAAAGTTTTACAAGTGGTATAAAATAGTTTTTAAATTTCATATTAATTCCATCCTAACCTGGAATGCTTATTGGATCAACAAATGTAAACCAAATTTGAAAATTTGGTTCATCATTACATTTGTTGTTCTCCATGAGCTCTCTTCCTCCCCATGGTACTCACCCAGCTGTCTTTCACGTACTTATATGTTCTAAAAATGACAGATCTTTTCAGTGCCTCCCAAGATATTAACCTCACTTACCAAAGAGCTGGGGATAGGAGAAAAAATTGAGATCTTTAGCCCTGCTCACTCTCTCCTAAGCAAGACCATCATAAGAGAAAAAGCTGACAGGTTTAGCAAAGATGGGTGAAAACTACTTATTTTTGGTAGTTTTTAGGAAGATGGATGTAGAAATAGAATTAAGGAAAAAATATGGACTTCAGTGATGAAAAGTTCATTTTAGGATCAAGATATTCTGATTATTCTTCCAGCACTCAGTCTCATCTGTAAGCCTGGCAGGCACTGCCTTTTTGCAATCAGACTCTTCTCTTTCACAGGAAAATGCTCCATTTATACACCCTAAGGCAATACAGGCCCAGAAGCTATGAAAATGGCTAGACTGGTGGTAGGGAATACAGAACATACTATGTGTCCAAGCACATCTGTGCATCACAACTTATTAAGTTACACACTTCAAATACGAAATGGCATTTGGCTAAAAAGAACAAAGACAAACAACAGGCAAAAAAAATGTTAAATTCCATTTTCACTTACCTCCAGAAGAAGCTGGAATCCCTCTCTTTTCTTAATTTCCTCCACTAGATATCTGTAATTAAAAACACAGGGTTTTATGACATTGAACAATACAATACTTAGAGGCAACAACAGAAAAGGCCTTAAACACATAAACATCTTTTTTTTTTTTAATTATTATTTTATTTTATTTTATTTCCCCACCCGACTTGAAGAAACCACAGAGTTAAACCTCATTTCTACCTGCTGTGAAAATACAGTAGCTATCAGCTCCTGGAAACAAATAAAGGCAACAACCAGCCAAGGAGTACTGAGAAGAGGCCAAATTCTGTCCTCAGGCACAGATTTTCAGTGGAGCCACATGGCACAAATTGATCCTATTTACATCAGGCTGTGAACTTTCCTGATGCAAATTTCTATTGATGCTGTTCTCTACAAATTAATTCCTCAATCTCTTTTCCTCAAGTGCTGATGCTGTGCTGCCATCTTATTTCATGGTCACCCTGACATTTCTTGCACTATTACCATTGTCACCAGGATCTTGGCCCAGAACTTAAGTTTCCACGTACTTCAAAAGACCGTCAGTTTTCCTGCTACTGTCCTTGTCCTGTACTTTACAAAACAGTGCACATTTCCCTTCAGTGAGCCTCTGCTGATGCACAATAATCCCTGGGCGTCCTATGCTAACAATGCACTAAACTAAATATTTCTTGTATCATTCACCTGTCAGCATGGAAAAAATAAATAATAAAAAAATGCCTTCAGTACAAAGATGGATTTGAATCCAAACTTTTGATCCAAACAGCACCAATTTTTATAAATTTTTTAAAACATGACCTCACCTTTGCCACTAGCAGATGTCACTCCAGCATTTTGAAGCAAAGAGGACAGTTTGTCATAGCTAGGGCTCTTTTAATTACATGCCCTCTCAAAACCTTCCCAACGAAAACTCCAAAGAAATTACCTCAAACTCATACAGCATTCCCATGTCAACAGAATGTTAGTCTTCTACACAGAGGTATTGCTGTCTAACAGTAATAAAACAGAGGCAGTTAAACTACAGATTTTGTATAAATATGCTCTTTTGTTTCATTAATTCAGCACTTCCCTGCCTGCAGCTGCCTTATTGGTCATCACACAAATAATTCTTTTATTCACTCCTAGAGGAAGAAAAATACTGTTAGAATAACCCTCCTTGGTCCTATTCACATGCCTGAAATCTGCCTTCACAGGGACACCACTAGCACAGCTGTATCCACAAAGCCTGAGATTCAGCAGACGTGCTGCAGAAACTGGTTGGCTAGGGAGGCAGTAAACAATACCCTAGATGGTCTAATTTTTTCAAAACAGAGCATGGGGAGTTGCCACGTTGTTTATCATTAACAAGTATTGTGCATGTGACTCATTACCTCTTAGCACACGTCCCCGTAAAATGATTGCTGTGACAAAGTGCCAGCTCCCAACAGCACAGCTCTATGAGTTGCACCAAACTGTGCACTGCTGAGGTGTTTCTCTTCACTGCAATAAGTCAATGATCTGGATCTTGTCTGCCACGACCATTTAAATCCTACTGTGTGTTCTTGTTTGTTACCTGGCTGTTAATTCCCAAGCTACTGTTTAGGTTGAAAGCAAGGCATACTGAAAGGCATGCAGGAGGATAGATATAACTGGGGAGGGAACCTGCTTCTGTAGGTAAATTTAAGCAAAAACAAGTTCAGTGCTTCCATTCTGTTGATTAGAAGATTCTTGTCTGTGTTGAAAAAATAACATCTATCATAATCAGCAGGCCATTCACAAAACAGTGGCTCTCAAACCATTTTTTAATTTAATCCTGAAAAAAAGGCAAACGAACAACAAAAAAAAAAACTCTTTGAAGGGATCTAAGTATGAACACGTAGTTTTTTGAGGTCTTAAAGTGTGTTAGAGCTACTTTTCATTTCATAATACCCTGCTCTCTTACCACAAGCACCTTTTTTCTTATACCACTGTCTGACATAGGATATCTGATGCTGGTCAAGCTCACAACACCGTTAATCATGTTCCTAACTACACTGCCAATGGCCTAAGAAGGCAGCCATTAGAAAAATCCATCACCCATGATTTATCTTGCCAGGACCATTTGATGGCAGTGGAGTAATTTACTCTGTGCATCTTTCCACAGTTGACAGAGGAGTTTTATTATCATGTCACGTTTGCAGAATGTCAGAAGGGCTCGAATCTCAGTGAGGACTGGAGTGCACAGAGAAGTGCTATTTGCTACGATTAAGCCTTGCAGAAAGTGAGGGGTGGGGAACTGCAGCAAACGTGGATATATGTCTGTTAAAAGTAGGTGTTGTCAACAGAGTGATCAGGCATAAAAACTGCAAAGATACTGAAGCATAAAGTGAAGAGGTGGATAATTACATCTAATATATTAGGGCTATCTACCATGTTGAAAACATGATTCACCTCTAAACCAAGAAGAAATTGATGGAATAGCCAATAAGCAAAGTTTGATGCAACAGAAATGCATGACTGCAATTACCCTAAAGCCTTTGCAGCTCTGCCTATCCATGGAAAATAATCTTGCTTCTCAAATTGTAGAGCCAATGCACCAGTTCCATCATTAATCTAGGTCTCTGTTCAGGAACACTGAAATACTATCTTTGCAACATCAAAGGAAAACCTACTGTAACAAACAGGAGAAAGGCTGCACAGCTGTTGAGTAGTTAAGAGACCTGGCACAGTGCCCAGTAAACCTGATGTCTCAGCTGCAAAGTGCCCATGTCCACGCAAATTCCAGATAGCAATGCAGCTACTGTAAAGAATACACTTCATCAGATAATGACAAAGAATTAATTTTCTTCTTCAAACAAGGAAAAAAAAAAAAAAAAAACATTCTGTCCTTAGAAACGAATTCAGCTTAGAAGCTGAATCCTAACATTCAAAGAAAATATCGATCCCAGAAAGGTCATTAATCACTGCGTTCAGTTAGATGACCTTGGCCAGTGACCTTGATAAGGCTGAATTCGCCTACTGATAGTGCAATGAATTGCATAGTCTGTACAGACACAGTCCAGTACAATACTCAGGAACAAAATAAGGTGCAATCTAACCTGAAGATTTTAAGAACACATAATCTGTTGAATAATGAGTGGCTTTGAAGAAATAGAGAATAAGGCCAGAGCTCATTTGGGATTTTCTGGGTTTGCTTCTTTCTTACCTTTTTTTTTTTTCTCCATTTCTAATCTACTCTGGTTTTACATCATAGATGTTTCAACTTCTTCTTTAAAGTGACTTTCTTAAAGTGAGAACATTCCTTTAATTTTCTGTAAACATTCAGTTCTTTTAAACTTGGTGGTTCATATCCAAAATATAATGCCAGTATGATAGAGGTGACTGTTTTTAAATATTAATGATTTGCATTATAGTAGTGTGTAGCTAGCCCAGGAGTGAGTGAAGATGTTGATTCAGTTTTATCTTGAATACATTTTGAACATACTTCAATTGAATTGTTTGTAATGGGACATTATCTTATTTCAAGACCATATTTTCTATTAGAAGACAAAAAAACTTGTGTATGGAAGTTTATTTCCAGACACTGAGACATCATTGTCACTTTAGAAACACCTTCTAGCAAGAATTTTATGGAATTCACTTGTGAAACCATGTGCTGTAAGACCAAAAAGATAGTAAAAATTGAAAATGGAGAAAAAACACCAGAAAAAGACATGCTTCAGTCCCTAATGGAATATACTACAAGCATTAAGAATTTCAGCAAACCCATGAAGAAAAAATAAACATCCATTAGCTCTGAGCAACCTCAGCAACCTGCCGTTATCTTCGTATAGCTCTACTATACCCTAACATTAACAGAGCATCCTCATATGTTTCCCCACAACAATACTTTCTGTGTTTTCTCAGTCATGAGGAATGAAGTGGACACAAGAATGGAAAATTCACTTCTTGCTAGACATAGCTTCAGAACCTGGCACATGGTGCCTGTTTTACATTAATACCAGAACATACATTTAAGAGTTAGAAGAGGGAGGGGATGCTGGTAGATGCTGTCCTACATATGGTTCAGATAACATGGATGTTAAACAAAGTATATCAATAGTTGAATTCAGACTCTTTTTTTAACTGACATCTATGCTTATTGCTACAAGTAGTAATTACTATTAAATATTGCAGCAAATTTAATCACACTAGTTATTACTGCTATTGCTAATAGTTTTTTTCTTGTATTAGACAGAAAGAAAAGGGGGGAAAAAAGTAACAGTTTGGTCTGTTCCAAGATAAGAAGTGTGAGCACTGTCAACATTTCAGACAGTCAATGACACAGAGTAGACATCTTCAAAATTGCGAGGAGGTACCTAGCCAAAGCCAGTGCCCTGTTCACTCTCTCCTCGAGGCCTGTGGTTCCCAGCGCCTTCCACATCAGCCAGAATTTGAATGCATCCGGACGCCTGCTGCACTGAATGGACTTGTCACCAGTGTCATAGCTGACATCGTAGAACTTGTCCTGCTGGAACAGGTACGCAGCCTTGGCAGAGTAACACTTCTTCAGGAGGCCCTATCAGAAACACAACAGAGGCTTAGATTGCTGATAGGCATTGTTAAACCTTTTTATCTTCACAAGCCAAAGCAGTTTTTCCTGTCTGTACCAACCATTTAGTAAAAGAGAACTGGATGTGCACGTCACCATTCACAGCTTACAGCATTGTTTAAGAACCCTGGAAGAACCCAGTGAAGTCAGCATTGACCACACAGATTTATTTTATTATTTTTTTTTCTGATGATTTACTTCATAGTGTCACTGAAGAACTGTAGGTTGAAGAGCAATTCTGTCCCAAATCTCAAGAAACCATGGGAGCAGGTACCACAGAACCAGCTGCCCAAACACATGAATGTATGGGTAAGGAGAACTTCTATACTGAAAGGGTTGTTACACACTGGAACAGGCTGCCCAGGGAGGTGGTGGAGTCACCATCCCTGGAAGTCTTTAAAAGACGTTTAGGTGAAGAGCTTAGGGATATGGTTTAGTGGGGACTGTTAGCGTTAGGTCAGAGGTTGGACTCGATGATCTTGAGGTCTCTTCCAACCTAGAAATTCTGTGATTCTGTGAAGCAGGAGAAGGGGAAGCCTGTGCCCACTGCTACAGCCTGTAGGTTGGAAGAACAGCCTGAAAAGCTTCCAGAAAGTTCACAAATGGCTCAATCTGTTTCTTCTTTCCTCTGACAAAAGACTTCACATATGGCACAGTTAGTTATGGGCAAAGAGTATTTCAGCCCCAAACCCAATGTTTTGCTGTTACCAGTAGAGAGCTTCTGAAGATTTAGCATACGTTATCTGACTGTTTTAGTGGAAACACCACCGACAGATTAGCATAACCCCATGTCTCATCTCTATTCACAGTTCTGACAACTTTAACATTTGAAAATAAGCCTCAGAAAATTGCTTTAGTGCACCCTAACTATGATTTGTTAACGAAATTATTTTTATTCAGCAATCTCCAGGCTCCAACTTCTAGGAGATTGTCTGGGCAGAAATGGCCAGCAGAAAACAGACAAAAATCAATGAGTACAGTGGCATGCTCCAGCAAAGAACGAAGCTGGGAAATAGAAAGCAGAGAGGCTGTTAGATGTTTAAAGGTACAGGTGAGGAAAGGAGACACAGGACTGGCCCATTGGCTGAAGAATAAGAAGTAGAGACAAGGGCTAACAGAAAGGAAGTTACGAGAGCAGAGATGAGGGTGGTCCTGCAATGGGCCCAGGAGACAGGACAGGTTGTGGATTTGTCAGGGAAGTTAAAAGAGGGTGAGAAAAGAAAATCTGTAAGGTGCTACTAAAATAGAAATTCAGATGAATTTCAAAACATGGCTACAGCATCCGATTCAGATCTGCAAATGTGTATTTAAGTGACAGTTGAACCAGAAGTCTTCCATACAGCAAAGACCAAGGAACAGAAGCACACAACATGGTAAAAGATGCTAAACTACTCTAGGAAATAACAATTCATTTCTCAGTTCAACGTCACTCTTCAGTTTTGAACCAACTGAACAGGCTTTTCACATATCACAGCCGTTTTTCTGCATCTGCAGCAACTTTGACTTCGAAACGGCAGACAGGGTCTGACATATCTCTTAGTCAAAGTATGATATTCCTGCAACAGAGGTACAGTTTTTAATCAATGTTACAGTACACTACTGGTAACTTTAGCACTGGCAGTAAAATAGAGAAAAAGACTTTAAGACAAGGAATTCAAAGAACACACGAAAATGAGAAACAGTCCACTGGCATAAACAGGATAAAGTTTCCCTCTCTCCTAGCCTTTTCAATTCCCTCTGTCAATATTTTAAAAAAGAAAATGATTAAATAAAAAAAAAAAGTAAAGGAAAGGAAAGAAAAGATACCATGAACACCTATTTGTAAAGCACAAAAGGAGAAAAACAACCTTGAAGAAAGCTTCTCCACTACTTCTGCAGGGATTTGACAATCCTGTTGTAATACCCCTGGTTTGCAAAAAGGACAGCAAATTCAGTATGAACTCTCTAGCCCCAGGACCAGCACATTCAGCCTTGTGAGAGGACAATTTGTGTGACAGCTTGGGAAGAAAGGGATAGTGGCTGCTAAGAATTATAATGTGCTACTGCAGCTCACTGTAGCATTAGCTGGAAAGACAGTGCTGGGCCTAGTATTTTTGCAACACCTCAGATTCTCACACTTTCCAGGTTTTTCAGAGGAAAAACAAAAGGCAAAAAGATGACACTGGAAACTGAAGAAAAGTCAAGCACTGACACATCCATCCTTCACCACTTTTATATAGCTTTGTGTTCTCTGGCTAACCAGTTGCCCAACAGGAAAGGGAATCCATTTGACAAGACATTGTGCCATGCTCACTTAGATCTCTGTACCTGAATCTTTAAATAAATTTTAAAATTAAATTAAAATTTAAATTAATTTTAATAAATAAATTTTAAAATTAAAAAAAAAAAAAAGGAGAGAGAGAGAAAAGAAAGCAAACAAAAAAGAGAGCAACACCCCCAAATTGAAGTTAATTGCTTTGTTTATCACTGACTTTAAAGTTTTGCATCATGTTTCAGCAGCAAGTGTATAGCAGGGCCAGTTAATGTGGGGTTATCTTCTGCATTATCAGAATGTAACACAGCTGCACGGTAGTGGACACCACAGGATATTAGCTCCCCTAATGTCCATCATCTGAGAAATAACTTCTGTTTGTCACAAGAAATTTTAACTTGGTATTATTACAGAAGGAGTCAGACACATGTTCTAGAGTGAAAAGCCAAGCAAGAACAAATATCTCAGTGAATTCAAATTCCTGAGAAGATCTTTCATCTAAAAAACAAACAAAACCACAGGTACTCTCCTACTCTCATGGTGCATCCAAAGCTGACGAGATATGCTGGCTTGATGACCCTTTTCCATCTGATCATCTTACTGATAATGCAACACGCTCAAGAAATCCTGTTGAAGATCTTGCCTTCTGTCAATCTCCAGAGGCAAGGACAGTAACGTCCCCTCGCACATCACTAGAGCAGACAGGAGAAGAAATGAAAATCGCGTGTTGTGCAAGGGAAAGGGAATTTTCTAGACCAATGCAAGAAGCAAGGTGGATAACAAAGGGGGAGGAGAACAGAAAAGTTGCAGGATAGGCTGTTGGGCTGAGGAAAAGAAAAAGTCCAAGATAAATTTTCTGCTCAAAAAAGCAATTACTCCTTGATCTCTAGTGTCTTGAAAGGAATAGACTCAAACAAGCTGAGGACATAAGATGTCGTCTCAGTTTTCCCATTGAAATGAAGGAAAAGTAGAAAAAAATGAAAGGAAAATATGCTTTCTAACTCAGTATTATCAGTCCCAAGATGATCCTGATGACTGTCCGCACAGTAACTGAACTGCTCCAGCAACTCAGAAAAATTGCAAACATTTCATTAGCACTGTCTCATTTGCAAATTTGTGATTCTTCCTTCAGTATCTTTTATCTGTTTCTGTCCTTTGATCAGAAGCTAACGGTAGTTCTCTGCCTTATATTGAGGCTGTTAAGAGTTTCAGAAAATGGAAATACTATTTTCATAAAGGCCCTGGTCCACTATGAAGTTTCAAGCAACTTTTCATTTTGATTAAGTCTACAGATAGTTGTTATGTGTTATAATTAGTGGCAAATAAATGAATAATTATTGATACTAAAACAAATATAGACAAGCTCCAGTTTCTTACAGGTACATAATTCAAAACACCTTTTTTCTCATTGAACAGACTTATCTACAGCAAGTCTTCTGATCTCCCTCCATTTCCATTACTAAGTGAACTTGAATTTTGTTAACAAAACATGAACAGCTTTTTCCTCCCAAGACAAACGTCTTCTTGATTTGCTTCATCTGAAGCAAAAAGGATGATCTTTTGAATGGCATACTTGAAAATTCTCAAAAGCAGTGTATTACAAAAGGCCATCCCTGTAATTCATTTCAAGAGGTGAGAAGGAGCTCTCAGTAGCACTAACCCCAAATAGAAAGCAAGTTTGTTTCCTGCAGCTGCTCTGGAAAGAAATTAGTGAAGTAGATATCTTTGTGACACTGCTAATGATGAGGAAGAGATTATACTGCAGGTATGTTTACCATGATCAATCAGTAATGCTCTGTGCTAAACTAGGACTTCATCAGCTACATTCTTTTAGATTTTATTTTTAACTTTATTAGTTAGAATTCTCTTGGTTTCCTAGAACTGATTACTAATTACCTAACCTAGTGCTGCACTTAAAGATCTGAAGAATCACAGAACTTTGGCATTTGTGATAAATATTAGTTCCACATGTATATGGTGACAGTAATCATGCTTACAGGATTACAGAAGGAACAAGTTGGAACAGGTCTGGTTTTAAGAGAAAATGCACGACCTAAAACTGATTCATAGCATTTTAAGAACATTCAAGAACAAAGTTCACTTACTAAAGTTTTGAGAATATCAGTCCCCGTAGCTGTGTGTTTAAACTGTCACTGCAATTCACATCAGAGCAATACAGGTATGTTCTGAGTAAGTCTCTCATCACAAAAGTGATGAAAGTTACTCAGTGCATGGCAGTGAAGAAGGGATAGCTGTGCATTTCTTGAGTGATTTAAGCACTGAAAAGCCATTGTCATTGATCTGAGCTTTTTCAGAGGATTAACCAATCTCTCTTTCCCTTTGGTGAAAACACTTCTCCCTTCTAATCAAGTCAAACACATATTTCTCTCTTCTATCTCTAACTTCTTTGGAAACCACTCCTATTTACTTTCATCAAGGTGAGAAGATTGCCTCTTATCAGCATTTCTCTGCTGTTTAAATATTTTCCTATATAGATTTTCAAAATAATAGATAAACACAGTATTTCATTCTAAAAATCTAGCTGCAATCTAGTCTTAAGACTATTGGCATTGCCAAACTAAATGGCTTCACCCTGCAGAAGGCCCTGGGCAGGTTGGATTGATTGGCAGAGGCCAATGTGATGAGGTTCAACAAAGCTAAGTGCCGGGTCCTGCACTTTGACCACAACAACCCCATGCAGTGCTACAGGCTTGGGGTAGAGTGGCTGGAAAGCTGTACAGAGGAGAAGGAGGATCTGGGGATCAAAGTAAAGCAAGGCTCCTCCAGTAAAGTGTCATAAACATTCATTTGATTTTTTTTTTCCTTAAAGATTTATATTCGACTTTTTTCAAAAAGCTGAAGAAAGTAACCAAGTTTGGACGTGTTTTTGCATAAGGTCTGCACTGGCACAAACATAAAATGCATAAATGCCGGTTTTCTAGGAATTAAAGCCTGACTAAAACACCTTCTCCTCCCCATGCAGAAAAGTGTTCTATTTTCTAGAACATATCTCACTGTACAACTGGATCTGGTTGTATGAGAGGTGAAAACACAGAAGTACTGCTGACCAACTACCTAGAATTGTTATCTACAAGTATTTCTGGCACAACATTGCATAGCTGTGATCTGGAAGTGGAATAGGATTGCTCTACCAGCCATCACTCTCCACGGAAGTAGTGAGAGCCCTGAAGTTGGAACAGTGTTTGTAAAGTGACTCTAAATGCCAAGGCAGCTAGAATATTTCATTCCTCTCTGTTTCTCTCCTCTCTCCTTCGGAGAAGTTTCCAGTATGCAGCAAAAGTAGTCTAATCATTACCTGAGGCTACATCTACATACTGGGCCTAATTAGTTACAAATACAGCACTGAATTCTTCCCAAGCCTGAAATTTAGAGACTACATTAACCTTAGTCAATAACTTCATTCTGCTTGTTTTTCATCCTGGAATAAAGGTAAAATGATGGACAGGTAGTTCTGGAATCTGTAATCCTCTTTAATCCCACGGATTCTAGTCTAAGGAAACGAGGAAGCACACTTCTTGCTACCCCATCTCACCTGTGATTTGGAGTGATCTGCTCCAAGGGAGCACTGATTAGCATCTATGCTCTTCAGTCCTCATTAGTTCTTACTACCAGGAGTTAGTAAGCAGCTACATGGACAGGTAACCACTAGCAGCTGAATGGAATCCATCAGCTGTTTTGACAGAGACTTATAAAAGTGATTTACAAGCCATGGCCACAAAACAGTGATGCAAACCTCAGGGACTCCATATCCCTCACAATGTTCAGTCATTGATGAACTTAGATAAAACTTATCCCGATGCTAGAGAACGGACATAAGCTTTTGCAGGGCTGAGTCTGCAATGGTGTTTTAAATAATTAACCCTTCACTAGCTTCTTTATTAAGGTAGAAGAATTCCACAAAGATATAAACAGGGACTTCAATCACATTGCAGACTAAAGTGTCTTTTGTGCCACTTGACATCAGAGCTTTGTTGTTTACTTGCTAGATTTTTTCACTATGCATGTTTTTTGGAAAGTCCCAGTCATCCTAGTAAAAGAAGGCTCAGCATCTTTGTCTGCATGCACTTCAACTCTTTCTCACCCTGGTACACCCATGCAAGGTGATGCAAAGAGGAGCTCTGCCTACATGGCATTCTTTAAACAGAGATGCAGTGCTGTTGCAGTCCTAGTGGATGATAGCTGTTCTGGGGACTTTGATGAGCTTAGTGTTTAAACTGCTAGAGATACAGGTGACAAAATACTCAATTCTGAATATAAATGCACAGAAGCAAACTAGGAAGGGCACCAGCTGCATTTGACCATTGATGAGTATAGTGACTTGGATCAGTTTGGCCCTACTCTTAGTCACCCTTTACTAATTTCTTGGTGAAATACAAAACAGTGTCATACAGCTTTTGCACCACAGTGTAGTAAAACTGACTCAGCTGTTTTCTTATCTCCACTTCCTCATTGCAGCAATGACAGTCTACTGCATTAAAAAATTAGGAAGAAAAAAAAAACAAAAACAAAAACAAAAACGAAAGGACTTACAGAGTTGTCTTTCACCAGAAGAGCACAGCACTGGATTCCAGCCAACAGCATTTTATGGGGATTCCAAGCAACAGAATCAGCCCTGCAAAATTCATAAAAGGAGATAGGGGAGAAGGCATAGGAATTGCACCTAAAATCACTGGTACGAGAGGCAAAAATGCCCAAATGCAACCCAAGCAGATAAATCAGTTTTTCCAATTTTTCCACATACCCATAGGTTTAGCAATCCCTCCAATTAATGACAATACGCATTCTGAAAAATACAGCTCTCATGGAGGCTTGTCCATCTCAATTCCTGTAAGTGTGCCCATAAACTAAAACTGACTTACCTGTGGATGCCATGAAGAAGTCTACAGTGCTTCCTTGATATCAAAGCTGAGCCACCCCAAGAAGCCTATTGGAAAAATTACAAAGCCAAGACAATGTTATTTGTATAAAGTTCTTGGTGCTCTCTGATAATGCTTCAATCAAGGATTACTGACAATGTTTTTATCTTATTTGAAATTTAGTTTATTACATGGTTAGTGGACTAAATTTTGCTTTTAGCAGCAGCTACAAACAAAGGTGGTTGCCTGAGACTATGCCTAAAATAGAGGAACCAAGGGTTTGTGCCATTATGTGAACCACAAGCTATGTTTTCACTTCTGTGTAAGCAACAGCATGAATTGAAGGGCTTCTGCATAACCAGGACATAGGAGGTGCTTCTGTTCCTCCAGCCTAAACCTAAGCAATGACAGTCAAAAGACCTATTTTGTACACATTCCTCCTCCTAGCTTTTTTCTTTGTGAGAGTTTCTCACAAAGGAAGAGAGAATGATAATCTCTGCCAATTGCAAAGCCCAGGCTCAGATACTCCGTGGAGTTTTGATACAAAAAGTGAAGTCAGTGAGTAGGTAATAGCAGCATTTCTGTGACCAGAAATCTCACTGATGTTAAAATGGTGTAGCATTCACCACATCGATCTCAGGTCATCTAAGAACTAGCTGTGTGGCCTAAGCATCAGTGAGGCATTCTCTGTAGTGAGTAGCTCTCCGCTGACATTCTTTATCAAGTGTCCTCTTCTTTATCAAGTGTCCTCTTATCTGTTTTAGATACCTGTCTTTGAGTGACACCTTCGCAGATGTCTCTCTCCATGCACTACAAAAGGAGTTCAGACAATAAGCATAAATTACACAAGTTTGACTTCTGGTCGCCTTAAGTTAGGGAAGGTGACTTGTCTATGAATTCAGCAAGGACCAGACATCACCCACTAGCTGCAGTAAATCTTCATTTCTCAAGCAACATTTATCCATGGGGTCAGGGTGGTGTGGTGAGAGCACACAACAAAAAACAGAATGCATGTCATATATTGCATTTGAGAAAATATTATTAAATATGAAAAAAGGGATTTCAGCATTCATACAGACAGAATCCACAAAAGAAAGTTCCCTGTGAAACTGAGCAAGGCTCCTCAGAGATGCAGAAGAGGCATCAGTCCAAAAAACACCCAGACTCAGCATATCATAAAAAAAAGATTCATATATTTTGGATTACTGAGGAAGAAAACACTGCTGTTTCCTGATCTAAATATAGTGAGGTCATACTTGCTTGCCTTTGGGGTTTAGGTGCTCTGGTTGTTGGTTGTTTTTTTTTGGTTTTGGTTTGGTTTGGTTTTGGGGGCGGGGGTGCTGGGGGGGAGTTGCTTTTGGTTTTTGCTTGAAAACAAACAAAACAGCTGTGAGAGCTGATCTATGAATTTAGCATCAGTTTTTGGTTTATAGGCCATATATTAGGGGAAAAAATCTTCTGTTTCTGGGAGACAGGAATAGTAAAAGCTCACAAGGGAAATGAACGGTTAAAAACTTGTCCTAACACTTATCATTCTCATTAATGCAAAACACAAACACCACATCATATTTTATGTTGTCATGCTCACAACATTCGTGCTGAGAAAAAGGCTGCTGCTCAATCTACTTTTGGAACCTAAGAAAGGAAATTATTTGCCTCAAATTTCACAGTAAGCCAGTGGCAGAACCATGACCTTAAACTGGGTTCCCCAGATAGCCCAAACTAGCCATGTTACTACTGAAGGACGATCAATTTGATCCTCCTCTTTATAGCTATATTTTGCTCTTCTCTTTCTATAATACAGTCAAAGTAGTCATTGAATTATTCCCCGGTTTTTACAATTCATAAGCAATGCACTGGCAGACCATAAATCTTTTAAAAATTTGCATCCAAAGCTGTTGGTATTTGGAATAATTGACATTTTCACACCATTCTGAAAAAAATAGGACTAGGAAGGCACTCAAGTGTTCATCTCACCTGTGTGCCACCCCCAAAGGCAGGATCAGCCATACCTATGGCATTCCTGTCAAACATTTGTAGAGATTATTAACCAACAAACACACACATTTTGGGATTAATATGAAAGTGAAAGATAAGGTGAAACTGCTGCCTACACAACCTGATTGGTACTTCTGTCTGCCTTCGTTTTAAAAACTGCTGCTAGGTATCTTGAAGAGAGGTATGATAGGTCCAGACATCTCTACCACCTACCAATGTCTCCTGGAGTCACAGTACCACAAGATGAATTTGTGCTCTGTGCTTCTTTACTCAGTTCACGGACTAAGTGCTTAGAGATCCAGGGCTGGCAAAAACCAAATGTAAATGGGAAGGCACCCAAGGATACCGAGAATCACTGACTTTGTCTGTTTTTAAAGAGCTCTAATGATGGAGGCTGCAAAACTTAGCCACCTAATTTGTGTTTAACAATAACAACCCTACAGATTGAAATGTCAGTCCTAGACGGTGTTACCCCTTGTATCTGCAGTGGCCAGGGAAAACACATTCTTTTCTTCTTGTAGCAGCTTTTAAAGTATCTGTAGAGTATTGCATATAGTCTCTTTATCTTTTCTAGTTTAAATAACATCACTGCTTTTAATCTTTCTTCATTGGTCATAACTTCTGGCTATTATTCCATTTATCTTCACTGCTCTACTCCTTTCTAATCTTTATCCTGTAGGTCCTTAACCTCCTTGATATGCAGCTTTTTATTTGGACACAGTCTGGATAAGGCAGATGAAGCACCAAGCAGAAAGAATTATTTTATGTATCTTTAGTCAAAGAAGCTGTCAAGATGTTTATCCCAACTGCACAGGCTTAAGACTGATGATCTGTGATGCACTGCAAACCCTGTATCTTTTTCTGGGGATCTGCTATCTAGCCAACATTCCCCAGATGTTTGTGCAGCTGATTATTGGAGCTTAAACCTAGAGCACTATCTATATTGAACTACAGCCTGGTTTTTCCACTTTTTTTCTTTAAACTGTCAAGATCTCCATCTTCTAATCCTGTCCTCCCACTAATTCTTGCAGTTCTGTGTCATCTTCATGTTATCTTCAAATTTAGTCAGTGGAATTTTTTTCATCCAAGTTATTAATGAAAATACTGGGTAACTTCTAACCTAGGATAGACCTCTCCTGATTTCTACTCAAAATATTCTCCCCTTTCAGCAGTGAACCACTAATAACTGCTCTCCGAGTATGATTTTCCAGCCAGGTTTTCACTCACTGCCACTGTTGCAGCTTGGCAGGCTTTCTGATGAGAATTTCCTATGAGTTATTGGCAAGACACAGTAAATGAACTGCTTCTTCTCCTTGCACAAGACTAGAGAAAGAAGGTTTGATTGCCATAACCAATGTATGAATACTGTAATGTGCACAAAATATGGTTACTGCACTGGCTGTCGAGTGGCTTGACTGCTGAGATAATTTCATCATATTGGTATTGTCCTGAAACTTTTTCCTTAAGTCCCTTTTTCTCTTCAGTTTTGTCTCCATGTGAGAACTTATCTGCAATTTCTGACTCCAATTAAATTTACTTCCTGAAACCCACTAATTTTATGTTGATGTTCACACATTCACCCTTCCTACAAATCATGAGCTTTATCATTTCACACTTAATGAAAAGCCTCCCTAAGGCAACCATATCAATTTTTGGTATCAGAAAATATTCTGAAATGAGATACATCAGTGTAAAACTGCAAGTAACATCACAGACTTTCATGTAATAACTGTATAAACTGTTCTCAAGATCATTTGCAGTAGATAATGCTGATTCCCACCAATGCTGGTCCTAAATTACAGCTTTCCCTGTTTTAAAATTATTGTTTTAATAGTACTGTATATTTTTTTTCCTCCTAAGTTACAGCAGGCTCAAAAGTAGTAAGAATCATTCAGCTGGAAACAAGACCTTTCAGAGGAATGCAGATCCTGGAAAGGTTTCCAACACTACATTCTTGCCTATAAGGCTAGAAGGAGGTAGGCTTGCTTAAAGGCAAAGAAAAAAAAAATCTCGAACTCTTCACTATGTTTCTTATACACTATTTCTGATCTCACTGTACTTTTCCCATTATTATTCCAGTAAACCTATTTTTAATGGTGCTGTGAGATAAAAAGGTCACATTATGAATTACAGTCTGCTCATTTTACCATATCACATTTTTATATATACATATGTCTGATATCACTTACACGCAAAGGTTCCAGTCTCTTCCCTATGCCCTGCTCCCATATAAATAGTCAGAAACTTTAAACGAAAATAAAATATCCATGCACTCAACTTTTGACAGTTCAACAGAGGGTGAAAGAAAAAATGGAAAATGCACTGATAGAACTACTAAGAACCAATCAAGGACTGAGAATTCATCGAGAGGTTCATAACATGAATCCCATGTTAATAGAAAGATTAGTCTTCTAGACCAAAAGCTACCCAATTTATGATTGTACATTTGTTATTCTACCAGCAATCAATTAACATCTGACAGCTACAGTCACTGTGAAAACAGAAAATTAACTTTAAGATATTCACTGACATTTTTACCCTAGCTTAACAGGAGGTAAAGTTGGAAGAAGAAATGTAATTATTTACTAAACACTAGCAACTGCTTATGAAATATAGCTCAGAGTACTGCCCAGGTTCATCCCACCTAACTGAAGTTATTCAGCTGCAGGGAATGTGCTAGGACATTACGCATCATCCTCCTACAGCTGTTGGAGATGGCTCCAGCAGTGTCTATTCAGCAAAACTCAGATCCAACACAGACTTTAAGTACACTGCAAACAGATGTACAAGGCACTAGCACCTAATGTGAATGTTACACTCCTGCTGAACATCTGCTGGGTCATCCTCACCAGCATACAACCACGAGGAAGTTCTGCAGGCACTTTAAATACTGGGGCTGAATTTTGTGGTTTTGCCTCCAAGAAAATGAAATTTTGAATCACACACACAGAAACTTTATTTATTAATGTCTGAGCCATTTTTTATTTGAAATGCACATCCTTGTCTATGTTATTTTTCTTTAAATACTCAACATTAAGCAAATACTTAAATTTAAAGCAGGTCTAAAAATCTCTATTAATGTTGCTCCAGATTCTCTCATTGTTCCACGGATTTTTGCAAAGCCATTCTGGGTTTGTGGCATTATCACTATAAAGAGAATCCAGTTTTAGAAAATATGAAGAGACCTACTTTTAGAAAAATACATTTATAGCTAACTCCTCCAGGTAATAAAAGGACTCAGTGATTATTCCAAAAAGGCTCATAAATGGTTTTTTAAAGCCAAAGCTAAAATTATAAAGAAATGACTCAATAAAAAAAAAAAAAAATTGAACCATTTAGGAAAACTTCAAGGGACCTACAGAAAACTAACCTGTGAAACCAAATAATTTATTGTCATTTGAGCCAGAAGCATACCTTCATTTTAACCTGTATGAACCATGCACCGCAATTCTAACATGTCCATTCTCCAATAGACTGTGGAAACAATCTGAAATTCTAGTTGTATATAATCATCCTTGAAGCATTTTTGCAGTCGCAAGAAGGAACAGGAAATTGATTTTAAAATCATTTTGAAATATAACCTGACAATGACAAGAAAATTTTGACTGCTTGTCACAAGCAAATTATTTGCTGGTTTTCAGCTCATGGAACACAGACAAATCAGGAAGTATTTCTGCTCTCTATGCAAAATGTATATATATATTAAAGCCCAACTTATTACTACACAGAAAAACATTAACAGTCAAAGAAAAATATCAATTATTAAAAAAAATAAAATTAAAGAAAACTACACAGTATACAAACTCACGTCTACATGAAGCCAGAGGCCATGCTTTTCACAGATATCAGCAATTTCATCCAGAGGATCAAATGCTCCCAGCACTGTTGTGCCTGCAGTAGCACAGACAAGAAATGGTGCTGACCCCTGCAATAGGATTCAAAACAAAAAATTGTCATTCACACTGCTCATTTCCTCCAGTATATTTGGAGAGTTGAAGTATAACAAGGTCTTGGAAAGTAGGACAGAAATGTGACAGTCTACATTTTAGTTTCCCAGCACTGAGAGCCTCATGTAGAAGTTACTGCATTTAAAAAGTGCTGACTATTTAAAAAAAAAAAAAAAAGTATTTCCAGCTAACACCATCACAGGGCAGACTTCACCAGTTTCAGACTGTTTTGACAGATGCTAGTTTTGTCAAGATGAAAGCACTCTGGATATTCAACATCTCTTTGTACACTGATTTTCATTTCTCAGTCTTCCCCATTTTACTACTATATTTTGCTGCCGTTCTGCCAAACACAAATCAAGCTATTAGTTCAGCCAGCAGGCTACCCCTCAGGGACATGACTCACCCCTCTAGGGACTTCACCTGCATTCCCTCTACAATGCCTATGGCTCTTTGCTGAGGGAAAAGGAACCTTCATTTAGGGAACATGACTTGCCTTGGGCAGCACTGGCATACGCCACAACTGGGACAGTCATCGCTATCTGACCCAAATGCCTGGTCTACAGCCAAGTGCAATTCTGACTGTTGTCAGGTTGCAGCCTCAGACAATTATCAGAGGACATCCATTTTGGCTTTAATGGCTTTGCTCATCGTTTTCCCATTCAACCAATACCAGGTGTGCAATAGCAGAGCAGGTCAAATATAGCAGCTTGTACCTACCCTTGCAAATATACGTGCCTGCATGTACACAGGAGCAGAAACCAAAGTAATGAAAAGAATTGGTAGGGTTTGGAGTGACTTTATGACATTGACAGTGTCAGCCCTAGCAATAACGGACCAATCTCACGTGCTGGTAAACACATGCTGAAGTTACTGTTCTGCTTGTTTCAGCATCTGGCCTGCAGCATAACAATGCTGCTACTACAAGAGGCACTAAAGTTGTTATAAATCGTATAATCTTGGATCCCTGGATTCATTTGCAGTGAATTAAATCTCTCAATATAAATCTCTATGCTGATGTAACATACTGTAGCTTCACTGAAATCAGACACCAGCTGAAAAATCAAACTCTACATGCAAGTCTTTTATATAGCTTCACTTCAGCTGAAATCTGATCTCCTCTGCTGTCCTCTTTTTTTAAGTGTTGCTACTTTTAAAATCTACTACAGAGACAGGCAGGCTTGATTAACTTATGCATTCTGACAGGTTTTATATTTCTTTAACAGTGTAGATGGCTGTTAGGATGGTGCATAATTGTAAGGAAATTTTAAAAACAAATCATAAATTACTAAAGCAGTGAAAAGTAGCCTTGGAATAAATTTAAACTCATCTCATACATTCACAAAGGATTACCAGCCTGTAATTCACTGCATGGTCACTCTTACTACAAACTACAAAAAAAAAAAAAAAAAAAAAGTCAATCAAACTTACAAACCAGTCTGAAGCTCAAGTACAAAACACTTTTGAGTGAAGCAAGGGCTTATCTGCTACACTTAACAGTTTCTGTTAGTATTCTCACCATTTTTCTCCCACAGCTACATCACAATGACAAAGCTTCCTCAGCTGCCAGAAGGTAACATGACTGAATATGGGGACAAGTCTAGGATCTCTACAAATTCAAAAGATTATTGTTACCATTACACCTTTCTGCAAAGAAGGGAATCATGGTTTTATTCTTTTTGCCAATAAAATTAAATAGATTTTCTTGACCAGATCCTCAAAAAACAAGTCTAAGACTCTTGCTGTTCACAGTCAGTGAAGATTTTGTGCTCCTATCACTAGTGAATACTATCATTCTATGGTTCTGTGATTCTACGAATGCATTCTCTGTTGTTTAAGAGTCATTAGAACACACAATGTAATTCACTGAAGTGTCCTTCTGTAAAAACTTATAAAATAGCACTTTATCAAGGACAGACACTAGTTACTGAAGCTCAGGTGAGATGGAAAACTTCCAGGATGCCTTTAACTTCCATTAAAAGGCAAGTGAAATAGTAAGTGTTTCTCAAAGGCAACACTCCTGTAAGTGGAGCATTTTAATACAGAACATTGGTTCTAAATTGCAAAGTACTGTACTGAGGCTGACTTTTTTATTATTAACATAAATGCCAGGCAATCTTTTCTAAATAACAACCAAATTTATTACACCAACAAACAAAAAATCTGTTTTTGCAGAGCACAGATCTCATTCTCCTGCTTGCTTTCTCTTGCTTCATATTTCAGTTCTTTTTTTCCTGTGGATCACTCAGATGAGCAAAGTACAGATTGTCTTTCATGGATAAGGCAAAGTACACAGAGAGGTAAGCAAGATTTTCCTAAGTAATTAGGGACACCATATATCGTTAGCTATTATACCTAACATGAAACTCCAAGGGGAGATGGTTGTTTGGCAGAAGATGTATCTACGGAACATTCTACTGAAAGCTACTGTGACCGTGCCAGTGCATAACACAATAGCACTGCCATGCCTTTTCTGTCAGCCACAATAGTTTCCAAAGTAGGATTTCATGGTAGTCAATGTCCACACTATGGATGTTGCACTAGCTGATTAGTATTCCCAGATCATGGACTAAGGGCTGAGCTCTGAATCCTACTGTTGTCATGAACAAACTGGAAATGAGGTGACCCAATCAAGTCAAAAGAAGATGCAATGTGCCTTTTAAGTCACATTTAGTCCCCTAAGTTCTCTAAAGTAAATTGTATTGGCTATATTAAGTTCTATCTTACAGAATGTGGTAATGTAGGTTAATGTTGTCCAAATATACACGAGTACATTTCCAAATGGTGATCTATCACTTTCTGCTTGGTAAAGTCCCTGTGGGAAAAGAGGCAGAATGCAATCTCTACACTTTTCCTGCAGCACCAGAAAGGATGAAATTTAGCATTTTCAGCATGTATGACTGTTTCAGAGACAAAAAGCCTTATCTTATAGCTCTTGCTTACTGCAGAGACTAAAGCAATAGCTTCTGTAATAACAGAAAAACCTACAGCTTTCATTTGCCTTTTAAGGAAAGCAGATACTGCATATATTTCGCTTGAAAAGGGATTAAGGGCAAAATAAATCCTAGGTATAGAAGAAATGTGCTAAATACTTCAGAGCAGCATTGTACTCAGGGTTTTCATTAATAGTGAACACCCTGTGGAATTTTACTCTCCAGAACAGCGTAACACCTAAGAGCCTTGGCTCGCTCCACAAGTCTGGGGCAGCTGGATTACACCTGTAAGAAAAACACTGGCACATCAACTGTCCTATTTTTAAGAGTTCACTCACTCTTAGTTTTCCTTCCTTTCACTCAGACACAAGCACACAGTCTGCATGCACTCCTCCTCTCTCCTTCATGCTTTCTCTCCCCCTCTCACCTCTTTCCTGGCCCGCTGGACTTGTTTCTCCAGTTCCTCAGGTATCATCTTACCTCTAAGGGACACAGATGTAAAACTTTTTCAGTTACATTCAAATAGGTTGGTTAGTACAGCACTACTGCATTTTAAAAGACTCAGAGATCACAGCCATGGCTTTTGCTTGCTTACCTTTCATCTGTTTTGATGAAGTAAACATTCTCTGTACCAATACCCAGAAAAGAGGCTGCCTTCTTCATGGAGTAGTGACACTGTAGAAGAAAGAGCATGCAAAAAAGAAGAGTGAGTAAACAATTAAAAAGAATGAAAAGTTCCTTAGTATAGGAAACAGCGACACTGAAATTAATTTAATATCAGCATATAACAGTCGTGACAACAGTATAATCTAACACAAAAAGCAAATTGACAAAGCTATGCAGCAAAAAGACATATCATACTTCACAATTAATGACACAGTAAAGAGCAGGAAAATAATACAAAAAAAAAAAAAACACAACAACAACAACAAAAAAAGATGTGCACCATGTTTCAAACACAAACTTAGAAATAAAAAGCTCTATTACATACACATTTTTTAAGCTGATTCTCCTTTACAATGAAAAATAGAAAGTTTGTAATGTCATCAGGAAAGAATTATTAATTGTTTCAGCATGTTTTAATAGAACAGAACTAAAAGTATCAATAGGTATAAAAGGCAAATGCACAAGAAGGAAGGTCCAAAGGCTATTGAGCACAACAGCCTAGAGGCAACCTATAGGTCTGAAAGCCCAAAAGCACCACTCCTCGTAAACTGGGATTAATTAGGATGTATATAGAAATGCCTAAATCTTCTACCACTTCATAATTCCAATGTTTTCTATACATTTTCTCAACATCAGCTGTTGGCCACTGACAGAGACAGGATACCATGCTAAATTGACCTTTGGTCTGATCCAGCAATTCTGGTCTCATGGACTCAAGGAGTTCAAGTCCCAGGATTTACCGATGTTTTTAGAGGTGGTACAGTCAGGACTTCCAAAGCTTTCAAATTCCTATCTCTGAAAAAAAGACCTGAAAATCCTGGTGTTTAGACCAAGGTTGTCCACATTAATTTTGATCTTGAAAGCCATTATGAAAGCAAAAAGGCTTTACATGGGACTTAGCACATAAATTAACATGGATTTTGCAAGAAGTTCCAGTTTGGACCTATCTACGTTTCCACTAATTATTATTTCAGCAAAGAATTTTAGCTAGGTCTCACCACAGAAATGTCTGTAAATGAATGCAGATGAGTACAGAAACACACAGTGCACTTCTCACTTTACACTGAATAAAGGGCATTAGTGTATGAAGCCTGTAATGTGACTGTAAAAGATGTCTCTTCACCTGACTAAAGGATGTTAGAAATTGTTTTTTATTCAATCAGAAAGAGGTGACATGTCTCAGGTGAAAAGGATACTTGAGCTCACTGTCCACCCTGTACTTTGTATACTTTTTTTCTGTTAAACTAATAGTCAAGGCTTTATGTTACCATCTTTCCAATGTTCACCATTATAAGCTAGGACCTGCTCTGTTGTGGGTACTGTTGTTCCAGCATAAGAGTCTTATTCCAAAATAACAGTATGCTGAACTCACGCAGCTTAATCCATCTTCAAGAGTTGCCTGGGAATTCAAAATGCAATAACCTTCTTAATCTGAACTCATTATTAAATATCAAAACTACTCTGAGCAACTTGTAGCATGACAAATGCCTACCCACTCATGTCAGTGGTGTCAGTTTTGAGAATATCAGCATCTCATAGGACTACACAGTTCTCTTCTCAGAATAAAGATCATCCAAGCCTTGGATTATCACTTCTCAAAAAAAAAAAAAAAAAAAAAAAATTAACATTATTACTGAAGAGTTAAATAACTCATATTCCAGCAACTGTGAAGATGTCTAGAATTGTTGCTTTTCATACAGGAGGTGAAGCCAGGTGGATAATTAATTCAATTTTCTTCCAGAGAGTTCACATAAATGCAGTTACAGCAGAACATAATTATGAAAAATGTACAACATTTTAATGTGTGGGTATGAATATAGTAGGGGTATTAAAGCCTGTCATGCTGATTTTGATGAGACAGATGATCTCAAAGGCCTCTTTTTCTTTTTGACAAAAAGGTTTTCCCCATCATCGCCCACTTTTTAAATACAGGCATGCAAAAATACTACCTGATACTATCTGGTAGTTCTAAGAACTCCTGGTTTTGTAACATGACACATTCACAAAGCTTTTAGGACTCATTTATTTAGACTTTTACAAGAATAACAAGATACATAGGTAGATAATTAGTCATACATTATATCGATAATGGCAACATGACTGTAGCTATGTGTTGCTTAGTAGAAGTTTGGAGATGTTTTCAACAACTTAGTGAATAATTTGAAATACAAGTAGCCTCTATCACTGATTTCTGTCCATTTGGTTCAAATGAAAGGTATGAATCACTTGGAATAATATGACTGCTTCACATTCAGAAAGCTGTAGGTCTGCAAAATCAGCATACTAACAAAGAAGCTATCACTAAATCAAGTATTTTAATATAAAAAAAATAGGATTGGAGAAAGATAAGAGGCTTGAGCACATCAGAGATTATACCAAAGAGCATAAGGAGGGAGCAGAATAAAGGGAATGCCAAAACAAAATAGGTTGCAAGATACACTGTTTCTCAAATGCTTCTGTTCCTCCTTCTGTCCTACTGAAGACCTGAAAAAAATTGGTAGGTCTACAGTAGGACAGAAAAGGGACAAGACATATTAAAATGTAGACTTGGAATATGCTTCCTTTGATGAATAATCTTTCAGTTTTATTGTTTGAATACATACAAGAATTTCCTTTTTTCACTATCATAACCAGAAGCTATTACACTAAGTTACTCCACGTCATTTAAACATATGTATATACACACACACCAGAGAACATTTAGCAGCTCTAGTCACAACATCAACTAGTTCATTTGTTCATAGTGCCCTTTCCAAAGAGAAAGGAAGTACTCAGATAAAAGATATTATATGTACCTAGATTATATACATAATATCAAGTAATATTTTTTAGTACTATGAGTTCAGATTTCTCTTGCCATGTCTTCTGTGGTTTTGTTTGGACATATTCAATCGGTAGCCATTAGGAGTGAGAAGTGAATGCGTTTAGGCACAAGATCAAACCAAAACAGTGCATTTAAGATGTGCTCCTGTAGTCTTTTAACTACAGCTAGACAGTTTTCTTTTCCTAATGACATTTGCAAAGATAAAGTACTTTGCCACTGTGTTCATTAAAATAGAAGATAGATTTGGATTTTCTTGATTTTAAAGAGTTTCCTAGAAACATGATTGCATAAAGCAATTACAATTTTATGAGATTTTATTACTCATTTTTGCCTGCTGTAATTTCAACAGGGGACAACATGGTGCGTTAATGTTGTGTTCTCCCACTTTATTACTTTCATGATCAAGTTGCATTGGGGAGGAATTTGGTTTCATTGCATCCAAAAAATTGCTCGTATAAGCATATATGTTTCAACTGTTTACACATACACTTGTACCCTCAAATTGCCTCAAATTTCACTAATTCCTACCTTTCAGATCAATGTAAAAAGTTCTTGGGTTAGAAAAAAAAGTTGAAATGGAATTCAAATAGTGAAAAATAATCAAAATGTGGGCTCTGTTCTACAACTACAGCTGTGTTCAGGTATTACAGAAACAATGATAATGCCTCAAGAAAGTGGGAATTAATTTGTCTACAGCTAACTCTATCTCAAGAAGAATCACTGTAATTGTCCAGCAAAACAATGTGGTTACATCATTTGGCCACAATTTTAAGTAGCTTAGCATTTTACTTGTAGGAATTAGGAGCATTTTTGCTGTTGGCCAAACAGAGCTTTTGAGGACCTTCAGTGGGTCACACATTAAAACATACACCTTCAGATTATCCACAAACATACACAGAATACATAGCCCCAGGTCACATAAAATTAACTCAGTGACAAGTTCATGCATTCCCCTGCTCTACAGCACGGCAACTCTTTCCGTCTGCCAAGTGCCAGACTGGAACTGTGGGACTTGGCAACTCAAGGCAAAAATCATTTCATTTCAACACAGTGTTGAAGCCAAGCCCTGAAATAACATGAGTGTCTTGAGTTGACAGTGTGTTTTTGTATTTTAACTCCTTATCAATACTCTCAGTTCATTACAGCCTCATGGCTTCCCCATGCCAACACTATTTGCCTTACCCACTTTTAAATCTAAACACTGGATGTAACTTTTCCATTTTTTTTAATATATATTTATTTTATTTTTTTTAATCGCTTGCACAGTGAAAAACAGGTCTATGCCCTCCAGGTACTTCTGAAAACAACAACAAAATGCTAAACAAAAGAAACCTCAAGATAAAAGATAATAATTGAAGAGTGTGTGATATGAGCACTTGTGTACTTTTCAGTGTTGGCCATTTATTAAATATAATCACAATAATACAACGTATCTGAATGAAGCTAACTTCCAAAAGGTAACATAACTTGGACTCAGTACAGATGAATCTAAAATAAGGATACATGAATACATACATCTCCTCCCTTATAATGAAGGATAAGAGCTAGAGATATTAAACAACAGTCACAACACCTAGCTGTGTAAAATGGCAGTTTTAAAGCAAGTGATTACTGAGTACTAAAGACAACATGGTTTTGTGAATCAAGCAAAGTATAACAGATGAAGACCATTGCCTCACAAGTAATTTAACAATTTATTTTTTCTGGTTAATTCTGTGTTTTACGGTTTTCATCTTTCTGGTAAAGCAAAAATACCAAAGTAAATTCAATTTGTTTGGTTTGGTGTAAGAGCATACTTTTATTTAAATCTTTCAATTAAATCAGATATTAGTTTATGATGAAAATTCTCCATGCTTCATTTCAGAAGCATTAAAATAAAGGGTTTCAACCTCATTTTTTCCTCCTGAGCTATCCTGAAGATGAAATGTGATGAATTAAGCATGAACTGGCATGTCATTTTCATATACATGTTTTTCAGAAAGAAAATATTGACATAAAAATACAACTTTAGGACATTGGATTCAGTTTCAGAATATACATGTTGTCTTGGGCAACTTACACAATGCTTGTGTCCCTCAGGCCTCTTCAATATAAGCATCTCTTGCCTACTTACCCTGCAAACTGTTTGGGGCATAAAAAACCTAAGAACTAAAATTATGTCGCTAATTATATACTTCCTAATACAATGAAGTCCTCACTGCCATCGGGAATTTTGTACAGTGGAGTCTGTAATAATACTTCTGCACTAAACCAATGAAAAACTTAAAATTGGAGGGACAGGTGAGAGAAAAGAGCCTCTAAAAAATATATTAATTACCTTCAGAATAAATGTATGAATGTAAATCTATTTCCCAAGGGCAGATACTACTCAAAAACCTTTAGACTTGCCACATTTTTCCATTATTTAAAAAAGAGCTGTCTAAAGATCCAGCAGGTTTTGCCAAAATACTTTATGGTAGGTTTGGCTTTCTACCACAGAGAATCCGTGTTCAGATACAGGGTATAATGGGAGCTGCAGAGAGCCATTTCACAGGTCCATGAGTGCTCAGCTCAGTACAAATTAAACTTGCAAGAAAAAGCTTTGACGTTTGAAACCTACACATGGTTCCTGCCAGACTTTTTGCTGTGGGAAATCAAAAGCTGCAGACCTCTATAACATCCCACATGCATTCATCTTCAGGTTTGCCCCAGATACAACCTTTTCTTTTATCTGCTGTTCCCAAGAACGCAAGCATCTGTTGTTGTGGTCTAACAAGAGAGCTTCTGCAGGGAAATTTGTCATCCAACTTCTCCATATAGCTTCGATATTTCATATCATTCACTGATGACAAACTCATTGCACCAGGGCTCCATCAGATAGGCAAATATAATTTTGCAGCCATTGAAAAATAAAGTTCATTGTTAGAAGCTCTAAAATGAATACAAAAGCTTTTTTGTTTTTACCTCTTCTGAAGTGAACAGGACTAGTCTTGGCAAACCTGAAAGCCCTTTTTCTTTTATCTCAGGACAAAACTTGTATCTTGCCAAGTTCATAGCATACATATTAGAAACAGAGCCACCTGCCGAAAGAGAAATACATGAATCATATTAACCATAATTCTAGCACATTTCTGGTGTCTGAGTGCTTGACATATTAGGCAGAAAATAAACCATAGTATGCACCCATAATAACTTAATTCCTCCCCAAAAACCTACAGATATAAGAACTGTGGGCTCTTCACCATGAATGGAAACAGCTGGTTTGAATACTCCTTGGAGGTATTTCCTAAATAAGTAAGAATTAAAGAAGTAAGAAATAAGAACAGCCCTCCCTGGCAGAGAATACCCTGCAACAGAGCCTTCTGATAGACACCAAAGCAGCACCAGATCAGCTGCCTATACTGAGCTCAACTGTTGCTATACCTAACAGAGCCTAGATCTCTCAGGCAGCCAGAGTATTATGAGGAGAAAATGGAGGAAAAAAAATTAGAAAATCCACAGGGAGTCAGATCTGAAAGATCTGCAAGGTATGATTTGGACAGGTTTTATTTACTTAAAAGAAAAAGAAAACAAAATAAGAAAAACCTTACATAAAACTAGCATTAAAAAGTACAATTTGTTTAGCTATTGGCAGTATCTTGGTAAGTTTGAATTAAGCACTTCTACATTTAAAGCAAGGATTCTACTGAAAGTACGCATCAAATCTGACATAAAAAAATCCATATTATTTTTTTTTTTCCCACAGATATTCCAGGGGATTTCATTTTATTTATTTTTCTACCACTTGCATGTAGGACTGAATTCCTGGCCTTGTTTTGTGTTGTTTTTTTTAAGGGCTGGCACTAAGTTCATTTCCTCATTTAATTTATTTTCCCATACCCAACTTAGATATGAAAGTTTCACATCCAACATAACTTAGAATAATATCATTACACTTAATTATTTCCATGTACAGGATTGGAATGCTGCTTTTCAGAACATTTGAAAACTGTGGCCAATCAAGAAGCTTAAGAAATATTTGTTTGACTGGTCTATTTGTAACATTTCAAAAAAACTAACAAAACTCAAAGAAATCAAACTCATGACAAACCCACTAAAACAAACTCTGGCTCCCACATGTGATACCCAGGATACACACTTCAGTGCCTCTAGGCACCACTGCTTGGTGTCTAGCAACTACATCAGCTCCGTCTGTCAACCAGTGACTCAGTCCAATAAAGCTGTTGGTATTGTTGTTATGAAGTTCAGGAAGGGCTTCAGTTGCAAGCAATTTATTTCCACACAATTATATTTAGAACAGTTTTCATTCAGATGCTGATCAGATTCACATTCTATTAGAAATACCTAAAACAAGCCTGGATGTCATAGTTTCATCTGTGCATCACTGGATTTTGCATGCGTTTTCAAATAGCCTACACAAATCAAATGTCCACTGAATTACTATATTAGATGGTTTATCATTACTCATCCTGAAAATGTGAATCGTTCTTACCTGGATTAAATATGCCATCACCTTCTTCCCAGCCTATGAACTCAATCATTTTCTTGATGACTGTCTCTTCCACTAACAGAAACACGGGGGATACTTCATATGTATATCTGAACAAAAATAAAAGCATAATGATTGGTGTTCAGATTACGCAACTCATGCTACAGAATCTTGCGAAAATTAGAGGTTTCTTAATTAAAAGCTGACCACCATCAGCAGTAAAACTCTAAACTAAAAGCACCATGGATCTGACACAGAAGAGCAATTGTTTAGTTCCTGACAGCATCACATTGACAGTTCCACTCTCAAAGTAATACATCTGAGTTTGATTTTAACATAGGTCACAATGCTTAAGCTTCAGCTATAATGATCTATTGCAAGCAGCAATCACATTTTTGTTTAGGCTTTATATCTGCAAGTAAATAGTAGACAGGTAATCATTTGCATTCAGCTCTGTGCAGTGTGCTTCAAAGGAAGCAAACAACTGAGTAAGTTTGATTAATTCATTTTTATATTTTTTATACACTAAGTAAGAAAAAAAGTCTAGGTTTAAAAGTGTTGGAAAAAAAGACCTCTCTTCTTATGCCCCAATTCACAAACTAGGAAAATCATCAGCTTAGCCAACTTTCCGCTGAGCTATTCAGCCAATCCAGACTGTATTCTTTCCCAAATTCCTGCACAATTCCTACCTTCTCCTTTATAACACTGAAAACCACTGAAAACAGAAAATGATGGGGGGAAGGGAGGAAGCTGTTACTTCAAAAAGCATGCTAGATTCATCATTAAGAGTACAAAAAACTACACTTACACACTTGGGTTCAATGCTTCGGTAATGAAACGAGCCACTAATGAGTAATAATCTATTCCAGCATACAGCTGATTGAAAAATCTTGGATGACCTGAAAATATAGATGAAAAGCAAGCAATGACAGAATGTACATGAAAAGAGAATATATCACAGGCTCTCTCAGCTGAATGCCGATCACTGCAAACCACAACTCGTTCCATCATTCTCTCAGTATTTTATGGACATACTGTCCTTTCTTCAGGAGAGACAAACCTTTGAAAGTAAAAGTCACAAGCCTTTTCAGGTCTCAAAACAAGGTTTGAAAGACGTAAATAGAGCACAGAATGAATGTGGGTTATTCACAAGTTTTACAAATCAAAAAAGAAGTGACTGACAACAGAGTATGCACAGTGGCCTTTACCAGCAGCCTCTAGAGGCTGTGATGGACATTCAGAGACATTTTGCTCAGCAGTAGAATACGGGAGCCTGCCGATCCCAGGCAGCTGTGCCTGTGCTCCCACCAGAGACTCAGTGCTGGTATAGGTAGACAGTGTAACAGTCTGGAAAAGCTTGCTGCAGACTTAGAATGAGAAGCTGAAAGGAATTGTTTACCTGCCTCGAAACACTGAGATATAACTAAATTATGAGAAAAATCTACATTATTGCTGACTCTACTAGCAAGTCAGTTCGGCAAAGGAGTCACCACCTAAATTTTAATCCACTGCATAGTATTCCTACATGCAAAGTCAGATAAACTGTATGGCTCTATGCATACTAGAGCTGAGGCTTCAATAAATGTTTATACTTAGATTAAAAACTATTTGCACAGCAAATTTTTCATATTTAATATTCTTTCCAAAGTGACAGTGCAACAAATGGAAATTTGAAGTCAATTTACAAAAGTGAGATAAACAGAATGTCTTCCATTAACTGAGTAATGATATCTGCATATTATTAGTGCACTGTCCCTTTAGATCAGTATTAGTACTTTTCTATGGTTTTCAAAGGCATAGGCTTCACCTTCAAAATTAGGTTATGGTTTTACTTACTGTAGCAACAGTGACTGTAGCAGGGAACGTGCCCTGGAAATGCACAGCTATTATATCACATGTCCTTCTCACTTTCCAATAAACATCCTAAGCTGTGTCACATCTGAAATCCTGAGCTTCTGATATAGCGCACTACTTCCTGAACAGATGTTATTCATCCCTCTTTTGCTAAGATTGAATTGTACTTCACATTGCCGAAAGGTTAGCTGTAGAGAACTAATCTTGCAGAGATGTCATGTACTGTCTCTAAAACACTGCAGGCTCTTCTTCTCACAGCGTCTGGAACAGGAATTACTGCCTATCAGCAAATTAACATCCTGTAAGACTATTGCTCCATAGAAAGCAATAGTAAATGCAGGATGATCATCACTAAGAGTGCATCCTTATTTGTACAAGGGTGACTCCACTCATGAAATTACATACAAAGGTTTTTCTTCTATCTACTTTGTTAGACTGTTATGTCATACCTGTCTAGGCAATTTTCACAAGACTTCAAAAGGACATGAACAACGACAGCATTACAGGAATTAGCTTTTGATTAGCTTCCTTTGATTATACCTTTTAATAAATCATAGACACCTATGGTGACTAGCATTCAGTCAAACGACTGAAACCCAACCAAATATTTGCATGCTTGTAGAGGCAAGTAGAAAGCAAACATTTAAACCGCTGGTTTTTCTGGAAGATAACAGAACTTTATAGGCATTATCCTGTCTTCCTAGGTTAGCATACAACAAAATTAGACAACACTAGAAATCGCATTCCTACTGGTTTTGACGCTGTATTGTATAACATCCTGGCAGAGTTGCAAGAGTTTCTGATGAGATTCTCCAGTGTCTCTCATTTCCAGATCAAGAATCTTCTTCAGTGTTTCCGGGGCCCGCCATTCACAAACCTAATGATAGGTAGGAGGGAGACACCAGCAGTGAACAGGTTAGATAAAAGGAAGTCATAAAGGTACCAGGTAAGCACCATGTTCAGCACTGTTTTCCAGAACTGCCCATTGGAGTGAAGTATGTCACCAGATAGTGCTTTACCTTTTCTGTGACATCATTAGCTTTCTGGATCACTTCTTCCATGATAATCTTACAGGCCTCTTCCACAAACTTCTCTCCTGCTTTTGAGTCCATTATTGGACCATTTAGGATGACCCCATCCACCAAGACAGCATTCTTTTTCTTCTGGAGCATATCCTGTTTGCAAATACCAACTGTAAGACAAAAAGCTCTGCGTTAGACAAGGCCTGGGCAATTAAATCATAAAGTACTAAATATTTGTTCATTGCTGATTATTCAGTGAATGTAAGGAAAAGAACACATGGCCTTTCCACATGTACAAAAATCCTAGATTTTGGTGGAAAAATCCTTGGAAACATCACAAGCAAATTGCTTGTGTTACTTTACACCTAGACTAGTACTACATACCATATAGCTGGCTATTACTGTGTATCTGCTGCTTTCTCTAGCATACGAAAGCATGCAAGGCACTTTCCAACCTGGGAGGAAAATGCAGTTCTGGCTTAGAACATGATACAGCTGGATAAACAGAAATGAAGTGAAATAATAAGCACTTCCCTTAGATGAAAACATCCCCCTGCACATCAGCCCTCAAGCTCCCCCTTTCTTCCATGATGTAACTTCCCACATCTTTCTGCTCACCCTTCCCACCAGCCAGTTCTATCGCAGAGTCCTCCATGTCTTTTGCAATGCTTCATTGACCCCACCTCCACAAAGACAAAACCTTTTGAGATTCCTATCAACATCACATACCTGCTCTTCTCTTTTCTGTCCTTATCCTATTAAGAGACCTGAGCCACCTGTTAACTTGCTGTATTATCCTGTGTATTCACTTCTCCACTGGTGATCACCTCCCTCACCTTTATCCATGAGATGTATTCTCCTGATGTGTTGCATAAACACATGGCTACTCCCTCCTTTACATTACTTCTGAAAGCACATCCAGGATGCTTATACAACACTGGACAACAGAGGCAACTGCGTATCTATTTCATGTATTGATTGCATATGCTGAGATCAGGACTCCAGCTTTAATCAACGTGAGGATAAAGACGAAAGTGAGACATTAGGAGATACCAAGAGAACAGACATTTGAAACAGTATAGCACTGAAAGGAGAAGCGGTAACTACCACATCTGAATTACCTGGGTTACAGACAGCATCTGTATGAGCTTGCCATAGAATAGCTACCATCTATGAAGCCAGGCAGCATTGCCTCAGAGGGTCTTTTTGAGCCAAAGCTCCAGTGAAGATGTTGGATGGGTAAGGATGTATGTAGGAGAAAATTTTATGCCCAAAACAACTTTACCATCTGCTTTGCTTTTTTCTCCAGTTGCAAAGCACAGATGAAAGGGAGCTTTTTCATAGGTCTAAACAAACAACCAAGTTTCCAGAAGATTGCAAGACAGTCTGACACTCATCATGCTCATCATAATTACAGTTTATCATCTCCAGGATACAGAAGAACAATGTTTCTTGTCTGGAAAAGTGAAGATCTTTGGAGTCCATTGGCTGAAAGAAACCCTGTCAATCCCATGGTAACTCAGAGTAGCTATTCAGCTTACTTTCACTTGTTAAGACAGATATTACAAATGAAATTCTAGCATAGGATGACAAATGATACACCAAGCCTCTGCATTTCCAAAATTGCTTCTATTTTTGATCCAAAGGAGAAATATTTTGATGAACAGTACTTTTGTATATTACTGTAGAAGAGGCATATATGTTCTTGTGGGACAGATACAGAACTAGCAGGTAAACAACATTCCATCTTCATCAAGCAAAGAGGGAAAATCCTCTACATCTGAGAGCTCAGTTCTGAGCATCATGATTCCTAGCATACCACAGCAGGGGCATCGTATAGAAATTACAGCTTTAAAGTCTTAAAGGTCCCTCTCTGAAAAGACAAGCTAGTAGGCCAACTTTACAAGACCTAAAACATCACGTATTAAGGAATGGGAAGAGAACAGGTCTTTGGGCAGGCAGAATAGGAACTATTTTTGGATTAAAAGTCAAATCTTTTATGTATAAACAGCTTCATAAAGTACTAACCAGAGCTTAATATAAACGCAGAAAAACTCAGTCTTACCATCTGGAGATCACAGAAGCATTTAGGTTGGAAAAAACCTCCAAGATCATCAAGTTCAACCATCAACCTGCCCTACCAATTCCCTTCACTAAACTACGTCCCTTCGTGTCACATCCAGAAGTATCTTAAATATCTTCAGGGACAAGGATCCCATCACTTCCCTGGGCAATCCACTCTAATGGCTGACCACCCTTTCCATGAAGAAATTATTCCCCATGTCCAGTGTAAACCTTCCCTGGTGCAACTTGAGACTACTTCCTCATGTTCTATCACTGGTCACTTGAGAAAAGAAGTTGACACCCTCCTCACTGCAGCCTAGTTGTACAGAGTGATGAGATCTCCCTTCAGCCTCCTCTTCTCCAGACTACACAACTCCAGTTCCCTCAGCCACTCCTCATAACGCTTGGTTTTTAGTCCCTTCACCAGCTTCACTGCTCTCCTCTGCACACACTTAAGCAACTCAATATCCTTCTTATAGTGAGGGGCCCAAAACTGAACACATTACTGGAGGTGCAATCTCACCAGCACTGCGTACCAAGGGATGATCACTTCCCTGGTCCTGCTGACTACACAATTTCTGATGCAGGGCAGGATGCCTTTGGTCTTTTTGGCCACTCAGGCACACTGCTGGCTCATGTTCAGATGCTACCATCTCCATGTATGTCAACGGTGTTTTGTTTCTATGAAAAAGAGGATAAGATTTGAAAAAAACTACATGGGAGATTATAATCTCTTGCAGAGCACAGATACTAGTACTAACTTTTTTCTTTTTTTCCTCCAGAAATCTCCCAAAGATGTTGGAGCAAGAGAACTTACTAACTCCTCTTTTTCCTCTGCTGCACTCTCCAGTCTCTACTAAAATCAGAGCTATGTAAAGGCTTTCCTTTGATAACTCCATCAGCATCAGTTTTGACATGTTTGCATAGCAAGCAGTTACCAGTGCTTCCATGACTTTTCATAGAATTCCTCTAAATCATAGTGAACTTAAGGTTACTTTTTTTCCTGCCAGGTCCTTAGGATGATGGGTCTAACAACAGCTCTGTATGTTAAGCAAATCTATTAACCTTTACACACAGTTTTACAGTCTCCAGAGGATACTCTGTGGAGCCTCAGGAGGAAGACATCCTCTGGAAAATGGGTGACAGCCCACTCCTAACTCCCAAAGCATCTGTGTTGGACCTCAGACACAGTCTTTGAAAGAGAAATGCAAAGCAGAGGGGTCAGAAGGAAGGGAGGGAAAAGAGCCTTGATTTCAACAGCAATTTACCTGTGTAAGGCTCTAGTAAGGAGCTGGGGACTTAGCCCACACTATAGTACATGAAATAATATACCTTGCAGCTATTAAACAAAAAATAGTGAGAAAATGGTAATCACCATTTCAATCTGAATTTGCTGAGCTAAATTCCACCCCACAACATAGTATAAGGTTAGTAATGGAAAATAATAGAAACAACTGTTTCACAAATCAGCAGCTAAATTGGGTGCAAGCATAAACATTTTCTGAGCTAAAGGTATTCAGGTTCTGCAAACTACTGTTGGATAAATATACTCATGATTTTACTGCAAATCCTATAATACTTAATCCTCTACTTATAACAGTCTGATTTCCAGAGTTCTAATGAGAATCTTAAACTCCTCTTTGCTCAAAAATGAACTTGTCTCCTCTCAGCTGCAGCAAAGACCTTGCAGAGGCAAACCGAGTGGATGATACAAGTCCAAACTTCCAGAACTAGAGCCTATTGTTTAAATTGCTTTTCTTTTTAACCATATTTTTTTTAAAGGATCCCATGAACAATGTATGGCTATCAAGAAACATTCAAGGTTTCACTTCTCATGTCACATTACTCAAGTGAAATGACATACCTTCTCCAAGTACAGCCTCCAAACATTCACACTGTCTTTATAAGCTGATAATTTACTGTTTCTTTATCAAATAAGAGTAAAATGCTTAAAAAAAAAAAATTCAAACTATTTTAGTTCATTTGCATATCTTTGTCTCAAACACACCTTATTGCATTAAAGGAATGCAGCCAGTCATCTGTTCCATGTGGAGCCCATATGTACCTTTTCTGTTGTTTATGAACAACATGGTATGCAAACAATCTATATTGCTTGTGGCAGCAACAAATATATCTTTTTCATTTAAGATTACAGAAACAGACTCCTAAACAGACTCAGAAAACAGACTTCCAGGAAGTGTATCAAATGCAATTTCTGCCAAATGGCTCCAGGCTTGGAATAGAACAAAAACTTTACCAAATGGAAGTGTCTTAAATCAGAGATTAAGGATTATTGACTGTTTAAGATATCCTTCTGCAAAAGAGAAGACTTGATCCTGCTCCAATTTAAGGTAATTGGAAATTTAACCACTGGCTTCACCAAAAGCAGAATCAAGCTCATAATTCTGATTTTTCATCCTGAATGAAATATTCTATTACAGAAGCTTAAGGTTTTCTAACTAACATTTAATTTTTATGATCAATATTACTGTCCCAGCAGAAAAGAATTAATTAGGAGCTGAAATAACACACAGAAAAATAAATATTTTTCAGATGTTGCCCTATCAATACGTAAGAACCAAGTACTTAAAAAGCTGTGTGTATTTCTGTAAACATATAGAAACTTTCTCTGCTACATTCTTGCACTGTAAAAAGGAATTGTAGCCCTGCAGTTGGCACATTCTGACAACATTGAGAGAGCACCATAAAATGCCTAGAAAGCTTTACTGCTCATAGGGAGGTGACAAAAACAGAAGGGGGTAGTTGTGAAAGAGTGGCTTGTGCTTGAAAGCAAGAACCAAATCCTATTCAGTTTATACTACTGGTACCACTGGCTGTTCAAGTGAATGAAAAAGGTTGACTTCGACCAAAGACTGGCTTCTGCTTTGTAACAAAAGCAGCAACAACTGCCAACATCAATCAGAAACGGATTTTACATTTTTCATCCTGCATGATCTAGCCATGCTTCTTCACTCAAAAGATGTCAGTCTTTTCTTTCAAGTGTGTCAAGCAAAAGAAAACAAGGGAACTTCACCACTGGGACTCCATACCGCCACATTTAATATATTATTACGGTGCTGTATCATGTATCGGGATATTAAAATGC